GACTCTGACCGACTGGCAACGAAAAAATATATACAAAACTCTCCCCTGGGGATTCATCGATCTATTCAAGTCCAAAGATATCCAAGCAGATCTCCTATTGCTGCTGTGCTCAACAGAACCTCGGAGCGTACGCAAGCCTCGCGGATCCCCGTTCACTACCAGAAAATTCGTAGCACAACCGTACCCATGAGAGACATATCTGTGACGGATACGGCAGACATCTCACACGGCTGGTTGTGCTGTTAACCCGAGGGGCTCGACTCTTGCTATTGTACCTCTCTCTCCCCTTTGTACATGACGGCGTCGCCTGTCTGTCAGGCCCTACTTGCTGTCTCGTGCGACTGTCGCGCTACTGCTGCTTCCCCCCGTCGACCATCACATCTAAAGCGGGCCAAGGGCCGCCTGGTGCTCCTCGGTCATCGGTACCCGCGTCCAGACTCTGTTGGTGACACAATGCTCTCCGGTGGTGAGATTGTGGAGGCGTATCTCCTGGTTGGAGGGTGGTTCGTACACGGGGTTCGTGGGCGAGTGGTAAAAGCAAACGTCCCTGGGGTGGTGGTTGGGGTGCCAGAATCGCCTACTACCGTCGAAAAATCAGGTCTGGTCAAAAATCAACCCTGCCTTCTTTGTGCATCTTGCCCTCCGTCGAAATCAGTACCGAGACCCTTCCTCACGTCTGAGAACGATATCGATACTTGAATCCATCTACAGCGAGACACTACGACAATATTTTCGCACTCAAAACACGCAAAATCATGAATGAATCAAGGGCAGCAATGGCCTAATTCCAAACGGCCAAAATACGTGGTGAGTTCAATGGTGAAAAGCCCATTCGCGCCACAGGGCGCTCAGCCACGCGGAAAGTGGAAAACCTTTGGCAACTCCCAACACAGCCCATGCAACGAAAACGGTATCCCGCAACCCCAACCAACTAACCTGGGTGTGAGCAAGACCCCCCTCCACGACGTTCCGCGTCTCGAGCATGTGCACATTGTCTCTTCCGCCGGCGGTGCTACAATTGGCGGAACGCACGAACCCCGTGGAACCAGAACACGGGACGGAAAGCACCTCGGACACCCTGGTGCGGGTGACTTCGTTATACTTGACCTTTTCCTCGTCGAGCGTGTAGCTGCTCGAACAAGTCAAGCGTTAAGGGACAGGGGCTAAGGGTAAGGGTGAGTACTCGTAAAACGTTCGAGGGCGGGGAGAGGGGACGGAGACCGCATTCGGAGTCTTGTTCAAAACGCGATGCGGCTGTTGTCTGGCATGGGTGCTTGATGTACATTGTGCGACAATTCGAGTGAGTGCTGTTGCTGTGTTGTACGAGACCTTCTGCGCACCTTCCATTCTGAAGCAGGCATGCTGTGTTTCCGCTCCTGTTGACAAGGCGAGCGGGGCGACTCCCAAATCCCAAACGAAAAAATGGGGGCGCCCCCTCTTATAGAAGCATTCACGCGTCCGCCCACATCCGAGCGAAGGACGCCCGCCCCTATTGTGCGGCGTTCCCCGGTAGACTGAAAACGATTGCACCGTTCTGCCGTCTCAGTAATCGCCGGTGGAATAGTTCTTCGAAACGGGCTTTCCTCCTTCGGAGTGAAAACTATGGCAGCCCGGGGCTACACACGTCTCCGCCGCCCCGCGCTCTGGACGGGGGGGGGGG